TAAGACAGAAAAATAAAGCATGTACACGTAGCTGTGTGTGATCATATCTGACCCAGCGCCAGAGACTGGCAAGCCTGCCTGTGAGTGAGACAGTATGAAACACTCTGTTCCCTTGCAGCTGTTCACATTTCCTCATTTTGCCTTTTTTAAAAATAAAAAGTGCTGAGGTTGGGTAACTGTAATTTCATTAAAAAGAGAAAACAAACAGTTACAAAATCATTCTTGTTTTCTCTCTAGGGATAATTTATTAACATTCTTTCCTCCCTCTGCCTCACTCTCTGTCCCTCAGCTTTACAAATACACTTGATATATTCAAATTTCAGGAAAGCAAATAGCAAAAAGAAATACATTTTGTCATTTCAATCCACCTTGAATTTAAACTTCTATAACAGCCATGTACAGCTCTCAGGCCAAATCCAATCAGCCACTTGTTCCTATAAGTAAAGTTTTATTGTTACACAGCCATGCTCATTCATTTATGAATTGTTAATGGCTGCCTTCTCATACACAGCAGGGTTGAGTGGTTGTGACAGAGTCCGAATGGCCCTCAAAGCTTGAAGAATTTCCCATCTGGTCAAGAAAGGATTAGGATTCTAACATTCTTTAACGGGGCGAGGCTCGTAGTTGATTAGCTAATACATTTCAAATAATATTTAGTATATTTTTTCCTATAGCCTATAAATGGCATTTTCTATAGTTACTTCCCTAAATATTTGCTGAAGGTGTCTCCCTGGCATGAGACTTTGTGTATTACTGAATTCTAATATAAACCAAGGAAGTCTGGTATAAAAGAAAAGACAGTGTATCAGGAGGCCATGGTCTAGTTCCTGTTGTTCTGTCTCCAGGATACTGAGCTTGTCACTTCACCTTACTGGACCTCAGCTTTCTCCTTCTTAAAATGGAGAAGTTGAATTATGTTGATATCTAAGATCTCTTCTACCATGAAAAAAATTTTTAAGTAAGTCATACTTGAAATACAAAAAAGAAAAGAGTTAAATGTGGTCAAAATATAATTTCTTAATTTTTTTGTGAACTTTTTAACTATATAAACATAACCGAAGATAAATGATATCTGGTTCCGAAAGAAACAAGCTAAGAAATAAGTATTTCCACTCTGTTAATTTTTATGTTACTCTGAATTTTAATATATATACATATGCACGCCCGCGCGCGCACGCACGCGCACACACACACACACACACACACACACACATAGTTCCTATGCACCAGCTCAAATACTCATTTATTTTTTGAAGACACGTGTATAGCTTAATGTACGTACCTAACCGCGCGCGCACACGCGCGCACACACACACACACACACACACACACACATAGTTCCTATGCACCAGCTCAAATACTCATTTATTTTTTGAAGACACGTGTATTAAACATCTACTATGTACTCAGCCTATGTTAGATGCTATTACAGACTCAAAGAATTCAAGAGTGGTCATGGCAAAAAGAAAGAAGCACTTTAACGGCATGTTCTGTAATCTTGTCCTTCATGTAGCCATTGCCCTCTTGGCTGTTAATGCCCTTGGTGTGGCAGGCATCCAAATGTTGGCCCTGTCCTGGGTTGTTTCTTTCCCCAGGTATTACCCCACAGCTACTTATTTCTGGATCCTCTTGCTCAGTGCAGACGGCCCTCTTGGGTGGGTTCCAGCCAGATTACTTTCTGAGACAGCAGCTTGACTCATGAGAAACACACACATTCTTGCCCTAGCATACAATTACAAGTGTGGTCTGACCTATGACTGCCCTCACCCTGCTATCAAGGTCTGCCCCAGGTGGCCTTTTTTCACTTGGGACCCCAAACACCACGTGTCAAGCTGCTCCAAGGACTTTCTCTCACAGGGCTCCTTTCCTACCACACCAAGATGGGCTTTATAAATTGCAGCAACTCAACAAGCATTCCTCCAATGAATGAGATAGTGAGCTCTCCTTGCTCTAGTTTCTATGCATGGTTCTTTTGAAGTGTCCACCATCCTTCACTTACATGAGGAAGGGGGCAACTCCCTCTCCATTCTTCCCCATCAAGAAGGAGAAAGAAAAATCAAATGTTTGCTCTCCTCGTCCTGTGACTCCAGATTCCAGTCATCTGCCTCTTTAGGCAGAATGGGGTGCTGGGATGAGTGTGGAAGGACAATTTTGAGACCACCTTTCAGGAAGCCCTAGAGGGATGGTCTGGCAGTTTCCTAGCTGACTTGGTGCCACTTACTTCCTATTGGCCTTAGCTCTGGGCATTAGCTGAAATCTAAAACAGGCAAAGTCCCAAATCACATTATTCTGTATATTCTTTATACATGATGGACTCTGGGAGGGAGTAAAGGTTGATAAGAAAGAGAAACTACATCTCTTCGTTGTTCTCAAAACTCAACCACCTCTCACTTGCCCCCAGATCTTGACGAAACTCTATCTGGATTTGAACTTTGAATCTTGAATTTCATCTTGTAGGCAGCATACAATATGAAAATGACGCATAAGAATGAGGAGTTGAAAAGCTGCATGTTTCTGACTACTGTTTTGAAACACTTTAACGTTACATTGCATTCAAACTTTCCTCCATTGATGACTTTTTATTTATTTACTTTGCCACATTTTTCAAACACTTTGTATTTGTTATGGTATCCCTAAAATATTTTGAGTCTCTAAGGCAAAAATAGTCATAGAAATTGAGGGGGAAAATGAAGGTTGACATGTTATGCACACACATCCAGATAGTCTCAAACTTGGGGCTGCTCACTGAGATCCTTTCCAGTTGAGACATAAAGTGGAAACCAGACTACTCTCAGATCCTCAAAGGGATCAAGCTGTCATATGTTTCTGGGCCTTTAGTTATACATGTCTTTGGAAGTTGTAAATTCTTTGAGGACAAGAATTCTCATCTTTTTCATCTTCGTAACCCTAGTAAATAGAACTTAAATGTGTAGTGCATAATAGTAGGACCTCAATAAATGCTGGGTAGATGGATGGATAGATCAACAAAGGGTCACTTCTTCCCACTGATAGTGACATGAGCCCCTCCCCTGCCCCTTCCTGCCTTTGTTCTTGCTCACTTTTTTGGTTAATGAGCAGACAGGTTAGATTCACCATCTGTTCTTAGCCACATGGGCACCATCTACTCCATCCACTGCCTGCCTTAAGAGTTCCAGTTCTGTGCTTTCCTAGGAGCTCGAGGGGCAGAGCCCAGTGCCTCCAACTCAGGTGGAAGGCCTTTTTTAAATTCCTTCCTATTCTATCTGCCTTTGATATTAAGCATCTCACTTCTCCCTCATCCCACCACTAGTTCAACTGAACTTCAGGCAATTGTGTGATGAATTGGATCAAGCTAGACCAAAGGAGCAGAGTAAAATTTGGTCTGAGCACTGTCCTTGGAGATGGCCTCAAAAATATTGAAACTCTAGGCATCTGCAACCTGTGAAGTTGTTATAAGGCTAGAATAGCGGTTCTCACTTTATTACTCTATGCCTCACTTCCCTCATCTGTAAAGTGGGGGAAACGGGAGTATCAACTTTATAGGAATGTTTGAGGTTAAATGAAGAATATATGTTAAGAACTTTAACTAGTAATTAGCATCTAATAAGTGCTCAATAAAAGTAGCATGGTCATTGTTATTAGTACTACTACTCTCACTCTCAGAACTTAACACTGGGCATAAAATTTACAGATACCTAAGGAATTTATTAAACCCCAAGTTTCTGGACCCCCTTTTCAAATTCTGATTCAGTAGGTCTGAAGTGAGGCCAAGGAACCTATATGTTTAATAACCACACCTGCTGATACTTCCCATGTGCATTCTACAGAGATTTGGGCTAACTTTGGTGAACCAGCCGCATATCACTAGTTCTCTAAATGTTAATATAATATTTGAAATAGAGCAGCATTTTACTAACTTACTTATTTTCTACAAGTTTCTGGTTTAGTAATGCCATCATTTTAATGCCATCATTTAAAAATGGTCACTGTTCTATCTTCACATTGTTTTCATTAGGCATTTATTTACTCATGTGTTTGTTGTTGGGCATTTTTATGTATGATGTAGCCCAAATATCTACAAATCATAAACCTTTGTCTTGCATCAGTATAAACAAATCTAACTGTAATCTGAAGAATGCTTATAGTCAATATTCGACCTCTCAACTAGCATGGTTGTACATAGTAGGGGGAGGGAAAAGAAGACAAAAGCAAAACTGACCCCCCAAAAATCCCCACCTATTTTAGAGAAGTTAGGAAATAGATGCGGCAGACTAGCCAAGATCATTTTTAACTTGTCACTTTTCAAAGCAGACTATTGAATGAGACATTTCATCTGAGGTAGAAATTAATATTTTACTTGTATTTCTACACTATAGAAATTGTTTTCTAATTAATTTTCTTCAGAAAGTTAAATTTTGGAACACCTAGATTTGTGAGGGTTTCTTAAAATATATTTAGTCTTTCAATGTCTTCTCATACTCTGTGAATTTCAAATTTAAAAGGAAAAAAGTTTATGTCCTTGATTTCTTGTTGAAGGATGCCAGCACTGATACTATTAATGAATAGCCCTAGTAAAATAAGCATGAACCTTTTGTGAGAATATTCCTTCCTAGAAGGAGTTGGGTTTGCCCTTTCCCAAGATTTAGGTTTCTGTGAAAATTCTTTCAAAAGTGTCTTAGCCATTTTACTCTGTATTCATCTTATTAAATGTTGCTTCTATCAGAGGAAAAAATACTGTGATTACTGAAATATTGATGAATTTAAAATGACAAGGAAATTGCCACATTGACAGAATTTTGGACCATGTATTTAAAGATGATTTTTTAAAAGATTATGCATATGGCTTATATTCTGACATGTTTCCTTGAATGAATAAGAGATGATTAACAAGAAGATTACACTGAAATCATCAGCCTACCTTTTTAAGAGGGAAATATTGTTTAGTGAAATAAGAAATATGAAACTCTTAATTTTAGCAAAGAATGATAAATGTTGATTGGATTTTTCTCCTTTGCTTTTAGCTGTATGACAAAATTAATACAAAGTCTTCACCACAAATCAGGAATCCTCCAAGTGATGCTGTACAGAGAGCCAAAGAGGTAAGTGACATATTTTGTAAACATATCTGGGTGTCATATTTGCTACCTTTATTGAAAACATTTCTACTGCACAGGAAGAGGTAGTTTCCTTAGAGTCACAGTTGGACCATTTTACTCAATTTTAGTATTTCTAAATTTTACTGAGCATTTGCATTCAGAAAAGAAAAAAATCTCAGAAGCAACATTTCCTAGATTTCTAGTTCTGGTTCTCCTATGTAAACTCGAACACGTTAACATATCAATTTTGCTTCATTTTTTAAAATTATTTTACTGTACTCAGTGGAAGTAGACATGCTCTGAACATTTGAGTTCCTTTTTCAAGGTGGTAATGTTTGAAAAGTTAATTAAATATCTATAGCAACTAAGTTTAGAAATGTCATTTTTATAAATTTTAGGTTACTGTACATCTAACATTTTTAACTTTAGTACACAGCCTTCTTAACTTTTTAATATAGACATATGACATTGCGGGAAGTTTGAAAAATAAAAATTCACTTATAATCTCATCATCCTAATGCAGTAATTTTCATTTGCATATCCTTTTCCAGTCCTTATCCATTTGTATACATAATTTTACATGGTCTCAATCAAAATGTACCTTTTGTTTACATAACATTATATCATGAGCATTTTTCCATGTTCCTACTTGGTCTTTATAAATATAAGCTCCGATGACAGCATAATTTTTCTTTGCTATTACTAAATTATAATGAATTAGCAATTCCTCCATTGTTAGACACCTAGGGTTCTTTTTTCACTTTTTGATGTCATAAAAGTCTTTATGCAAATATTTCCCATTGGAAAAAAAATTGTTTCTTATAAAGTGAGATTACTAAGTGAAAATAATATGAAAAACATAATGTCTTCCATACCAGATTTTAAACACAAGCCCTGTACTGGAAAATATCATATATTCACTGAGAAACAAGACTGAGGACATCGGGGCTGCTAGGCCTGCCCACGTGGTCAGGACACCAGCCTGGAGAGGTTCTCTCTAACATAGGAGACCACACGTCATCGGTGTTTAAAATCATAGACTGGGTGCGGGGGGATGGTTCTATAGAGTAGTGGTTAGCACATCTGCTTTACATGCAGAAGGTCCTGGGTTCCCGCCCCAGTGGATCATGGTCCAGGCCTTGGGCACACCAGGCCCCGGGTGTGCACCAGACCCCGGGTGTGCACCCTGGGCAAGTGGAAGGAAATGCCCCGCCTTCAGAGATCCAGTTCTTAAGGAGAGATAGCAACCAGGGGTGGAAGTGGTGGTGGGGGGATTAAAAAAAACATCATAGACGGTGAAAGTAGCAGGAGACCAAAGAGAGTATGTGGTTTTGTCCTTTTATTTCACTGGTAGAAAAACTCAAAGCATAAAATACACCAGGGAGAATTGAGTTATCATCATTAATATGAATTATCAGCATAACCAGAACTTGATAAGGATGCCTTTAGATAGGAAAGAAACCCTGTAGTTTCTGTTTGTTTGTTTGTTTGTTTGTTTGTTCTTCCGTAATGAGGTGGTTGAATAGCACATAGGTATGCTGCTGAAATCTAAACCTTAGGCTAAGTGACCTCGCAACATCCCCTCCTGCCTCAGTATTAACAGGTTCTCCAAGGTGAGGTAAGAGATTCCTAATGGACAGGTGACTTTTGT